AGCGAGCAGGGGGCGAAGCCTCCTAGTATTCTATATTATGTTGTTATTATGCTTGTGCAGATTTAATAAGAATATCAGGATAATCAGATCGCTTTTTAATCAGGATAATAAAGAGAGCGTGTTCGAAGAGCAGATCTCGTTAATGACAATTATCAAAGACGTAACACTGAAAGAACGCGTATGTGACGTACAGTCATACATGCTGTTTTTTAAAAAAGCAAACATAATTATTGCTTTGTTTCTATGAATTTTGCTATATTGCTAGTCAGTTATTTCAATTTAAAAATTTTTATTTTAGCAATTTATTATTGACTAAAATTTTAATTTCTTAAAGTGGAATTAGTTTTAAAAATTTTAGTAATTGATTTAAATTTTTAAGATTTTACGCTAGAACACATTTCAAATGGGTTTAACTGAGTAGCGAGCGATTTTGTAAAGCGGACCATTTAAGATTGCACAGCAGTCTTTTGGGGGTTGGGGAACGTCAGCGAACATAGAGCAGACGCAGAATCCACCAGCTTGAAAATTGTACTAATTAATGTTATTGTAACCGAAGATGTGCATATTTTGAAATTATAAATTGTTCCCGTAATTCCAACAATTTGGAACCTAACTCAGAAAATTTTTGAATTTCAACATTAAGAGAAACGTTTTCCGTGGAGGAAATTTTTATTTAAACTACTGTATACATTCTATGTTGTACGAAACTTTCCAAGGATATGGATGTTAAAACAATTCTTTTTTTTCTTTAAAAAAACTGTTTTTTTTTTTTTAAGGAAATCGGCACCTAAAATTGGCGTCGTAGTATTAGCAATGAAAAATGACCAAGAAAAAATTCGTCTTAATTCGAAATCTAAAGAAAGTGTTTTTTGTCCAGTAACATTAATTGGTGTAGAATTAGCAGCGAAAACTGTTTGCAGAGGATTATTTCTTTTTTGAATATAATTTGCCGGGAGAATGGACACGTCGGATCCATGCAGTATCGACCAGAAATGATAAGTTTGTTGTCCGGTCTCGAATGAACAGGCGACGCGATGTTTGTGGCAAAGAACAGGTCGCGTTTATTCTTCGCCAACTTCTTCCCGAAACTTACATGGCATAACGCATTTTCCTGGTTTACATTTGTTTCCAAAATGGCGATGGTACCAGCAAACAGATGAATCTCGTTTTTTAACACTATTACTTCTGTTTCTGCGATAAGGAGAACGAGAAATTTAAAGCTTATCAATTCTTTCATTTAATTTTTTTTATTTGGCGAACTAATTTCTCTTCCTTTGAATCGTTTTCAGTTATAGAGTGGGTTTCTATGGGGTCTGGCGTGACTTCTAATATCTTATCGGAAATGTCGACTGCTTTTTCTAAAGTTAAATCTGAAACGGCTGCTAAAATCGTTTGCACTGATGTTGGCAAACGCTGCAAAAATAATTCTAACATAAGCTTTTCAGGGACTTTTAATGTTTCTGCACGACGTTTCATAATCCTTAATAGTTCGGAAGGCTTCCTATTACCCAGTTCTTCACTAGACAAAAGTTGGCGAATTTCTTGTTGCGATGATTCGCCTGATCTAACAATTAATTCTGTTTTTAATTTATTGTAAGGATCTGTAGCATCAGGATTCATTAAAATATCTCGTACAATCGATGCAATCTCTGGCGATAATTGAGAAACAAGGTAATTATATTTGGTTATAGATTTCGTTATAGGTTTGGAAGATGCCAATCTTACCGTGCTTTCACACATAATAAACCAAAGAGCAGGATCTGATCTGTTATATACTGGTATTTGTACTGCACTTACCTCAGACATGGCGAAAGAAGTCTGAATGGCGTCACAAGAATTTTTTTTTCAGACTAAAATCAGAGTTAAACTAAACAAAATTCTTGATGGATATAATTAATATCAATTCAAATCGTCCGCATAGTCACCATTGAAGTGTTGTTTTATCGCTTTAACACAAGATAGACTTATTCAGAAGGTTAGCCAATATTTATTCACCATAGCTGTTCTATTTTTCATCCAGACTGTTACCATGCAACATACAAGAAATGATTTATAATCATCTTGCTTAATTGATTAAGAATAATACTACAACTTTGAATAATTGTAGACTTTTATAAAATGAAAAAAAAGCATGCGTTTTGTACATAAAGAAATTTTCTGATATTAATGCTGAAAACTTATGCTAAAATCACTTATAACACACATTTGTTTGCAATTTTGTAAAATTTAGTTTTGACAAAACAACTTGATAAAGAAGAAAGGCAAAATAGTTAATGGATGATACTGTTACTTTTATGTTAAAAGCTTAAGAAAAGTTTCAACACCGAAAATTACAGTTGCTCATGACTAATTTTGTTTTTGTCTCTCAGGTTCACGTCACAGCTTGAGAAAGCGCAATAATTCTTTATTGTTGTTGTTGTAGTTCATTTACGTCGCACTAGAGGTGCACAATGGGCTATTGGCGACGGTCTGGGAAACATTCCTGAGGATGATCCGAAGACATACCATCACAATTTTGATCCTCTGCAGAGGGGATGGCTCCCCTGCTTTTGTAGCCCGACGACCTGCACGCGAAGTCGAGCACTTAGCGGTAGAACGAGGACCAATACCGTACACCCTCGGTCCCTACGCAGACTGATCCACCCACCCGCAAACTGACCGCAGCCAGTGATGCTTGGCGTCGGTGATCTGGCGGGAACCGTGTCTTGACGATCAGTCCACTACGGGACAAATAATCCTTTATCTACTGCATTATGAACTACTGAAAATTTTTTCAGAAATATATTTTTTTTAGCTACCATATTGATAATTAAAGAATATACAAGAAAAAAAATCAAACCAAAAACCATCAGAAAAAAAAATCATAATATAAGTAATGGTCAGAATCAGTGGTAACCATCAGAATATAAGTAATGGTTGTTGTACTATTTAGTTTTAAGTGATTGGTACTTATAAGTACCAACAGTAGATAAAGGGATAATTACAAAAAAAAATTTTAAAAAAAATGGGAAGAACGCGCTTTAATATATTTTGTTCCTAGCATTACGTAAATTAGTATTAAATAGTTGTTGTAGTTCATTTACGTCGCACTAGAGCTGTACAATGGGCTATTGGTGATGGTCTGGGAAACATCCCTGAGGATGATCCGAAGACATACCATCACAATTTAGATCTTCTGCAGAGGGGGTGGCTCCCCTGCTGCACACCCTCGGTCCCTACGCAGACTGATCCAAGTGGTCACTCACCCGCAACCAGTGATGCTTGACTACGGTGATCTTCTGGGAACCGTGTCTTAACGATCAGTCCACTGCGGGACTTGTATTAAATAGAGTTTTTGCGTAGCGTTTGTCTTACGTTAACCTTATCCCCTCCCCCCGATTTTTAGGTAAATTTTCACGCATGCGTGTTTAAGCTTAAATAGCGTTAACGTTTGAGTTAAGGGGAAACGTAACGCTTTGCAAAAACAAAAAAAAAATCTCTAATATGATGCTCAACATCTCGATTCTCTTTTCCCATTTATCTCGTATCGTTTTCGTGATAAGAAACGCTAAAGCATTAGTTTTCAACAATATACCTATACACCACTTTCAATAGCTATAACATTAGAAAGGGGACAGTAAGCAGTCTTTATAAATAACGCTTAATCTAAGTCGATACAATCAATCCATTGCTAAATGACGGTTTTCTCCGAAGTTCTAATGTCTTCCAATTCATAACTGCCGCTTTTGTAGTCAAATTGGACACCCCCTCTTGTGTCCTCTCTTTGGCAGTTGTAGAGCAAGTCCCAAACTCAAAAATTCCAGACTGATTTTGCTGAATTTCCTTGATTTTCTAACCAATGGTGTAAATTTTACAATTAATTTTTCAGTTATGCCACTGTTGCGGGTTCGCATAGGTAATATTGATAATAATTAGCGGTGTCAACAGCCAGTTGCGATTTTTAACTTTTGTGTAACTTTTTATAGTAAAAAATAGCAGTTTGCATCCCTGAACATTCAAGACTGGTTTTTATCTTAAAAAGTAAATAGTGGTGGTTTATATATTTATAAAAGTAAAAGCCTCCACTTTACTTTTTTTTAAAAAATCTAGAGAAATGATTTTACAGTCAGTTCTTTTTCTTTTCCTTTATTCAAACAACCCTTAAATTGAAGGACTATTTTTGTCAGACATTTTATTCGTTGTTTCTTTTCCTGCTCAAAAAGATATTCAAGAGAACAGTCTAAAATGCATTTTATTTTGTCTGAAAGTGAACACCAGACAAGAAGTATTGGGCAATATTTTTTGAAGATCTTGAAAGTGTTCAGCTTTTTTCGGAATTATTTTTTCCCCTATCCTGTCAAACATTTTAACAATGATAGTCAGAGAAAGCGTCTTTAGGTTTACTTTGTTTGAAATATTTTATAGAAGTAGTTATAGTTCCAGTAACGTTCTTTTGGCATAAAAACTCTCTTCTTTTCCGTTATTATATACTAAAGAAGTTGAGCAATATGATGGAACATCCTCAAGTATTTTCCGTAATATTTTAAAAGCATCAGAAGTATGTTTAGAGTTTTATGACTGGTGAAAGTTTACTGCTTGACGGAAATAAACAACTTTTCGAAATCTTCCAAGCAGCTGAATTTAAAGAAAACATTGAAATATATAACAATAAAATATATTTCATGGCATAAAATATTCTTTCTAACTTTCTTTAAACCAGGGTTGGCATGATTTAAATCATTTAATTTTTTTTTAAATCATCGATTTAAATAACTGTGATTGTTAAACGAACTTAATTTTTTTAAAATAAATTATTAATTTAAGTCTAAAATATTTTTATACAATATAATTAATAAATAAATTATTTAGGGTTTGATTTTTTTTTTCAAAGTCAGATAATGAAAATGTTTTAATAAGTAATAATGTTAGGAATGATGCATGTAAATTATTATACGATTNTAATAAATTATTATATGATTATATATTAATAAATTATTATATGATTATATATTAATAAATTATTATATGATTATATATTAATAAATTATTATATGTCAAAATGGTTTTGCTGTACCCAGAATAATTTAAAATATTTTTTTTTCAATAATGACTTATGCAAATTTATTTTTCGTTGAATATCTAATTGCTGAATCCTAAACATTCATTAGCAAAGTGAGCTAAGGAAAAATATGTATGATTTTATTTAATAATTAATTTTTATTAATTAAACAAAAGAATTTTTTCGTTTAAGTTCAAAATATTAACAATTTTAGCTATAATATTGTTTTTAAGTAAAATTTAGCATTATTAATTAATTGTATTCGATGCTTATTGGTTGGCAAAGTTAAAATAATCTGATTAAAAAAAAATTAATAATAATTTTAAATCAGATATATCTGTTTTTGTTCCTAAAAAGAATCGTGATTTTTGCCAACAATGCTTTAAACCAATTATATATTTCTCTTACACGAAGACAAAGAAAGTCCTCATTTCTTTTTCGTGTTGGCAACAAAGAATTGAAATATAAAGCGTGTGAGCTGTCATAAGCATGAAAGCGTAAACGTACATGTTTTCAAATTTCTGAATAAAAATTCATTTCTAGTATGGACAACGAAAAGCTGAAACAAAATGAGCTATAAGTTGGGAAGAATTGAATGGATAAAAGCGATTACTATATACAATAAAGTGTTCCATATTATATTTTAATTATACCTGTATAGGTTCAATTGGGTACTTGCACTTCAAGAAGAAGATCACAGATACCCACACATGTGACATATGACGTCAGCTCTAGCTGATCGTTTATATGCAAAATGACGTGTTAACGTTGATCTAAGTTTCTCCACATAAGTTAGAATGTTATTAACGTGGATTTAATTAAATACAGCACCGTATCGCACATCGAATTTGTTGAAATATAATTCTTTCTCGCCTGCATCTTTTACTTAACTTGGGTTTATTACATGTTTGTGTATTTCAATGTAACCGTCCTGTATTTTTGTTGTGTGTACCTGGCAATTTCGATGCATAATTAGTTTGTTTATGTTCCATGTTGCTTCATGCCTGTCTTTGTGTTAAGTAAAAAATATATAGAGAAAAAAATTGAAATCCTTGTGAAAGAATATTTGTGTAAGAATATAGAATGTGTCACTTAAGAAAATTGATACTTGACAGACTTAGCTTACTCGAAATAGAATGGAAAGAACAGTTGCTAACGCAAACAAATGCCACGTTTCAACATCCGATCAGGATCGATATGCCCACTCTTCGTTACTTGCAGGCATCCCATTATAATAATTTTCTCATCGTTACTGTTAATTCATTGAAAAATCAATCATGGTCAAAAGTTTTAACCATGATAGTCATGAAAAGCGTCTTTAGGTTGAATTGTTTTAGGTAAGTTATAAGCATGAAAGTGTAAACATACATGTTTACAAATTTCTGAATGAAAGTTCTTTTCTCGTATGGACAGCGAAAAGCTGAAACAAACTTGACTATTAGTTAGAAAGAATTAAATAGTTAAAAGCAAATTGTTCATATCAATAATCATAATATAGAATACATATCAATAATCTATTATATATAATTCTC